GAGCCACAGTGCCACTTCCGGCTTTTTTCTTTTTGCTTATGTGGTGCTGAGGAATCAAACCCAGGGCCTCATGCATGCAAGGCAAGCATTCTACCACTGAGCCACCTTCCCAGCCTGCACTGTCTCTTTTGTTCAAGGCTAGTACTCTACCACTTTGAGCCACAGTGCCACTTCCAGTTTTCTGATGGGTAATTGGAGATAAGAGTCTCACAGGTACTTTTCTGCCCCGGTTTACAATCCTCAGATCTCAGCCTCCAGAGTAGCTAGGATTTCAGGTGTGAGCCATCAGCACCCAGCCTTCCTCTTGATCTTGCTTAGCCATACCTCAACTTCCATTTTTTACTGATGAATTGGAGATTAAGAGTCTTGAAGATTTATGTCTTTGAGGAGTATAAGCATGAACCACCAATGCATAGATTTGTTTCATCTTTCCAAGAGCTCTAGAGGTAGATGGTGGTGAAGTGGCACACATGTGCATATACTTAACCCTACAGAGCTGGACACTGAAATTTCTATGTTAAATGTATTTTAATGTTAAACGTGTTTCATTACAACTGTTGAACCTATGTGTTGGGATTAACAGGCATGTTTCATCATGTCACCCAATTAAAAAAAAAAGACCACAATCCTTCTTTCATATCACATATCATCTTTCTGCCATATCACAATATCTGTGGCTGTTGGTTTTCCAGCCATAGCAACCTGACTGCTGACGTGAGGAAGGAAAGCCAAGGGTCCCTCCGTGGCTTCCTCTTACCTTTGACACTTGAGGAGGCTATTGGAAAGCATACATCTTCCCACATCACTCACCTCTCCGTGGTCTCTGTTCACAGGCACTGAACGATTTTCTGAAGAGACAAAAGACAGGAAGATTTGCCACCGCTGAGGAAGTGGCCCTGCTCTGCGTGTATCTGGCTTCAGATGAAGTGAGCACTATTCTCCCAGAGTTCACTAGCCTCACACACCTGCGCAGTGGCTTGCCTAGCAGTGAAGTAGCATGGTAGAGTCTCGGCCACATACACACATACAAGGCAGGCATAACTTCCCATTTAATTCCAATTTATTCAAAGGCCACTTGGGATCTGAGCCACACTGACTCTTCTTTATTCAACTTTACATGTCACAAAATCTTACAGCAAATGAAATGGAATGCAGAAAAAAAAAGCATGAAACTGCTCAATTTCCTGTTTCTTATCTTGTGTGTGTGTGTGTGTGTGTGTGTGTGTGTGTGTGTGTGTGTGTGGAAGTGCTGGTACTGGGCTTGAACTCAAGGCTCAGGTACTGTCCCTGAGTTGTTTTTGCTCAAGGATAGCACTCTACCACTTGAGCCGCAGAAATCAGAATTGGAGATAAAAATTCCAGGCTGTTTTTGAATTGGGAGGCTCAGATCTCAGACTCCTGAGTAGCTAGGATAATATGAGACACCAGCACTAGGCAGTATTCAGTTTTCTCAAAGACAGTTGCTTTCAAATTTTAAAACCAGTGAAATCCTGATCAAATGTAAGTCAAACAAATGAAGATCTATGATGTGAGAGTTTCAGTGAAATAGAAAGGGTTAACCAGGTAGACTATACATATTCAGAGTTCACTTGCAGTATCTTTAATTTTACTGGAGTCTGGTAGATTTCCACTGGCTATATTTTTCATACTTGTTTGTCTTCAGGTGTGAAAATTCCTAGTTCTATCTCTTCTGCTTTGCATCTGTTTACTAATCAGTTGCTTCTGTAATGACGTGTGTGTGTGTGTGTGTGTGTGTGTGTGTGTGTGTGTGTGTGTGTTATACTTAAGGTTAGTGCCCTACCATTTGACCCACAGCTCCACCTCCAGCTTTTTGGTGGTTAACTGGAGATGAGAGTCTCATTCACTTTTCTGCCTGGGCATGATCCTCAGATTTCAGCCTCCTGAGTAGCTCGGATTATACAAGTGAGACATCAGTGCCTGTCTTATTGTATATTTTTAAATGACACAGCTGAGAAAACAAAAACTAACACAAGATGCAGAGGATAAAAGTATCCTCTTCTGCATCATGTGGTTGAATGTCACAAAAATTACATAACAAGGAACTTTTATGAATGGAAAGAGAAGAGGACAGCAGGATAGGGGTAGGTTGAAGAGGAGCTATGGGACTTGCCAGTTATTTTGCCTTTAAAACAACTTGGTGCAGACCAAATAATTTGGTGAAGATGAAAAACAGAAGGATTGAAATATGTGGGTGACAGAGAAGTCATCATTTCTCTTAATATTAGCCATATTTGTTATATCCAGGGAGAATGCTAGTTATGAGAGAAGCAAGCATCTAGGCTTGGTGAACCTATCTTCAGAGGAGCTCATTTGATTTGAAAGTATTGCTGATAAACTGAATGGCCCTTCAGAGACAAATGTGCAAATATTCTGTCTTGAAATGTGAAACAAAAAGGTCTTTGGCACTTTAGCAGGGAAAAGAACACTTCATATTAAATCTCAGCCTGCTTTTTAAAGAATTTGGGGAAGGTAGGCTTACTACCTCATTTTCCTAATTTATATAAACAGTTTTTAACATACTGAAGTTTTAATTTTTCTCTGCTTAAACTATGATGTCTTTCCTTCGGCCCCCTCTTTTCCTTCATGATTTAAAACTCAGTTTAAAATCAAGAACACAAATTAAGAGGCATATCCATTTTAAATTACCAGGACCCTTTCAGTTTTAGGTCTTGGAAAATGAGATGTTTTACAAGCATAATATCAATGATTATTTTTAATTTAGTTTTATATAGATTTGCTTATCTAGAACTTGTATAGAATAGGATTTCATAGTTTAATAAATTACATAATGCATGTAAAATTTTAAGATAGTGTATTTGATACAACTATTTTTATTGTTGGGTTTTTCCTTTTTTTTTTCCTGCAGGTGTTGAGGCTTGAACTCAGGGCCTGGATACTATCAGTGTACTTTTTTGCTCAAGGCTAGCACTCTACTACTTGAGCCACAGATCTACTTCAAGCATTTTTGGTAGTTGGAGATATAAGTCTCTATTGACTTTCCTACTCTAGCAGGAAAGATCTTCAGATCTCAGCCTCTTGAGTAGCTAGGTTTACAAGTGTGAGCTACCAGTGCCCAGATACACTGTTTGTTTGTTTGTTTGTTTAACTGTTTGTTGATCACCATGGCCACTTAGTTACTGATCCATTTACATTTTAAAGGGTTTTTCTTTTCTTTTCTTGTTGTTGTTGAAAAGTTTTCAGTGTCCTGAAACTCAGCTAGTTTTTTAACTGTCCTGAGCTTCAGGATGAAAATATGCTATGGGAGCACTTTCTTCTAATTTGGGACATGGCTATAGGCCACTACTGCTTAGTTTTATGAGTCTGAAACCAAACACCCATCTGACTCTGCCCAGAGCGAGACATGTATGGGCATGCCTGCCAGAGGCCCTGCAGCAACAGATCACACGAACAGCTGGCAGTTCTAAAGCATTCACAGGGAAATTCAATTTTTCTTAAATTCAGTTTATAAGTAGGGGCTCCTTATTCATATGAGAACCAATTGGTTATTCATCTAGACCATAAGTACTTTTGAAAACACAGCCTGTGTCCTGCGTGGTTAATTGTGTCACCTTGTGCTCCTCACTGCAGTCGGCCTACGTCACCGGCAACCCTGTGGTCATCGATGGAGGCTGGAGCTTGTGACTTCAAACCCGTAGCAGAGCAGCGTCTCAAGAAAACCACCCCACAGCTCTCTCCCAATGAAGGCAAGACCTTCCCAATGACAGTTCCCAAGAGCCTGGTTCTTTGAACAGATTAGTGTCTTTCTAATCTCTCCTGAAATGATTACGTAAAATCCAATTAAAAATATTGAACTTGTTGAAAAGAATCTTTTTTTTTTCTGTTTTTTTTTTTTTTTTTTACTGCCTACTCTATGGATGTTTTTATTCTAAACTAGTATAGCCAACTTACCTTTGGTTTTACTTTACTGCATTATGAAATAAGGAAGTTAGGCTAAGTGATTTGGATGGCTTTTGCATAGCATTATCAAAATGGTGCAGCGCCCTTATCTAGTGAATTAGTGTAACAATGACGTGTATGTGACTTTCACAGCATCCTGTGCCAGAAGTGGAGCTGTGGCTTAAGTGGTAGATTGCTGGCACGGAGTGAATAAAACAAGGGAAAGTCCCCAGGCCCTGAGTTCAAGCCCCAGGACTGGCACACATGCACACGCGTGCACACACACACACACACACACACATTGAATATTATAGTATAATTTTATTCTGTGAGCAAGCATACATATAGATGTATGGCTATAAATAAATGAATTCAGATGAACACACAATGAATTCTGTAAGTCAAGATGTTCAGAGTTAGTTCCCTCAGAGCCAGTGGTAAACTCTGTAAACATTACAATGGACAAGTGAATGTTAGCCAAAAAAAAATCCAATATTTTTCAATCACATGCAGTAGTTATTTATGTATGTACACATAGAGTATATGTATTTATAGAATTTAATTATATATGTACACACAGAGTATATAGGTATAGAGAAATAATTTATTTATTTAGGATTACTGGGATTAAACTTGAATTGTGCCTCCAGCCCCACTTGGCACTGGTAATTTTTTTTTGGTGGGGGGGGGATGTTGGTCGTGGGGCTTGAACTCGGCCTGGGCGCTGTCCCTCTGTTCTTCAGCTCAAGGCAAGCGCTCTACCACTTGAGCCACAGCTCCACTTCCAGTTTTCTTGTGGTTCATAGGAGATAAGAGTCTCATGGACTTTCCTGCCCCCGCTGGCTTTGAACTGCGATTCTCAGATCTCAGCCTCCTGAATAATTATGATTACAGGCGTGTGCCACCGCGCCAGGCTGGTGATTTTTGAGGTTGAGTCTCTACTTCCCTGTGTGGCTGGGCTGGCAAGTCCACTCCACTGCTCTCCCTGTAATGGGGTGAGCATCCCTGGCCACCACGCCCCTGTATTGGTTAAGAGGGAGTCCTCTGGCAGCGCCCTGCCTGATCTCCCACCTCTGCTTCCCAAATAGCTAGGATTACAGGCTTGAACAGTCCCACCCTACCCTAGCAGGCTCAGAGGAAGATCATATGACTGAAAATAAAGGAAAAACATAGCTCAATCCAATGGTAAGAGGAAGCTTAAGATTTTTTTTTTTCTTTTTTGTAAGCTTTAGAAGGAGGAAGAGTTCAGCTTAGGAAAATAACCAATTTTGGAAGCTGTGTTGGACAGGACCTTATCTGCTCTCAAAGCAGACCCTGAGAGACAGTGTGGGGTTCCGGGCAGAGACACTGGAAGATTGAAAAGCAAGATTAAAATTGGATTTGTGCTTAAGACGTGAAAAACAGGTAAGGGACGAGGCGGCGGGCGGGGACACACACACACACACACACACACACACACGGACATAGAAGGGAAGGAGGTTGCGCACACACACACACACACACACACACACACACGGACATAGAAGGGAAGGAGGTTGCACAAACATTGACCTGAGGATTCCGTGAACTAGAGTGCCTGGCAGGTTTCGTGTCTAGCACATGACGGCCCGGAGGGCACGGAAGACCGAGCCGTACACGCTGTACACGCTGCCGTGGGAAAGCGCTCCTGGTGGAGCCGACAAGAAGGCTTCAGAGGGTGGCTTAGGATGGATCAGGCGGGCAAGTGGCTGCAGGAAGCCGGGCGCTGGGCGGGCTGGGCCGGGCCGGGGCGGCCTTACCCTCCCCGCAGCTTCGAGGGGATCCTGGCACCCCGGGCGGGCGGGGCCTCCCATCCTCCCACCCCGATGGAAAGGATCCGCAGGAAGGCCTCGGTGCGTCCAGCCTGGTTCCGGGGTGCTCCCCGCGGGGCTGGAAGCGGCGACGCCCCGGGGTGCGCCCTGCGCCGGGTTCTCTGCGGGCGCATCCGGAGCCCCAGCGTGGATGGGGAGACCCGGCTAGATGCGTCCAAGTGGCGGACCCGACTCGGAGCCCCGCGCGCTCAGGGTAAACACCGCGCCCTGGGCTCCCCGCCCTCCCCGGTTCCTCCCCGACCCTGCCCTCCCCGCTTCTCGGCGCTCTCCCCTCGGGCTGTTTACTGGTGGCGGAGGCTGGCGCCGGGGAGATTCCGTTTTTCTTTAGCCCAGCTATGGGGCCATAGTGTCCCCGGGTGTCTGCGCTGCTCTGGGCGGGTGGAAGTGATGGCGGCTTCTACCCGATCTCAGTGCTGACCTCACCTCATCCCCTCACTTAGCCGGTTACCAAAAAGGTTCAGGAGGGCCCGCAGCCTTCCGGGACCGCGGAGGAGCTGGGTCTCCACGTGGAGACCCTGGGGAAGGCTTGGCCGCTTCCCGTGGAGCGAATGCCGGTTTCCGATTCTCTCCAAGTCAGAATGGAAGCATCTGGTGCCAGCGAATACCTGCATATCCCTCTGCGCCAAGCAGACGCAGGGATTAAACATCATGTCTGCCCTAATGGATTCACAGATCCAGGGTCATTAGGCAGTTCTGACTCATGCGAGCCACGTGGATAATCCACGCAGGACCCTTTCAAGGCAGGTGAGGGCCCTTAGGAGAATCAGTGTGGACTATTTGCGTCCCTGAGGGGGCTTCAGGAGGAGGCAGTGTAGAGTAAACTGAGCCGGGGGCTGGTGGCTCACGCCTGTAATCCTAGCTACTCATGAGGCTGAGATCTGAGGATTGCGATTCAAAGCCAGCCCTGGCAGAAAAGCCCCTGTGAGACTCTTAACCTCCAATGAACCACCTAAACACTGGAAGAGGGGCTGTGGCTCAAAGTGGCAGAGCGCTCGCCTTGCGCAGAAGAGCGAGCTCAGGGACAGCGCCCAGGCCCCGTGTTCAAAGCCAGTGGGTGATGTGGGGGTTAGACTGTCCATCTGTCGCTATGTGTGTCTTCCTGCACACACAGGAGAACCTGGAAAGCCACCCGCACCCCGCAGACTTCCTTCCAGTTCAGCTGGTAACCTGCGGTCTAGCAAGGAGAGGCCTTGCGTGGGGGTGATGCCAGTGTCAGCACGCAGAATTTGTTGGGCATGGAAGCCCCCTCAGCTGCTGAGACACCCGGAGTCTGCCTTCCCAAGTTGAATCGCCAGCGAGGTGGCTGTCAAGAGGTCCATCCAGGAGACTGGATGTGGCGGGGGATACCTGTAATCACAGCCCTTAGGAGGCTGAGGCAGAAGTTAGAGAGCCCAAAGCCAGTTAGCTAAAAAAGAAAAGTTAGCACACTGTAAATACAATTCACAGCACAGTACACACAAAGATGCTGGCGTAGACTGGGAAGGTTCTTTGGACGTTAGGAGGCATTTGCTGTAGAAATGAATAACGAAGGGCAGCCTTCCACCTCGGGTATAATTGTGTAGCCCCCTTTTCTCTGGATTGACACCTGTGTGAATAAGAGCCATCAGGGCTACATAGTGTCTCCTCCTGGCTATTGACTATGGGGATCACATACAGAACTCTGTATAAGTTAGTAGAAGGTTTGTGTTTATATGTAATCGTTTGCTGCTGCTACATTTTTGAGATTATGTAAACCTGTTAATTTTTTTTTCACCATGTGAAACTGAAGGTCAATAGATTATTCGAGATTTTCTCAACAGGAAAAAATAGTTTTTCAGAGTTGATAGAGTTAAAGTTTTCTAGGTGACAGCTACTGTAATGTACTTGAGCCTCTTTTTTTGTTTGCTTACTTTACCTTTTTTTTTTCCCCTGGATGGTGGGGCTTGAACTCAGGGCCTGGATGCTGTGTCTGAGCTCTTTTGTGCTCAAGGCTAACTCTCTACCACATTTCCACAGCACCACTTCCCTTTGTCTTTTTTAAAAAATATATTTTTATTGTCCTTTTTTTTTTTCAGATAGGCTCTTGTGATGTAGCCCAGGCTGACATGGAACTCATGATCCTCAGCCTCTAAAGTACTATATTCCAAATGTGCACCATCACACTGGCTCAGAGTCTTTTGCTCATGACAAAAATAGTGAAGCTCTTTTTTTGGGGGGGGTCCAGTTGTGGGGCTTGAACTCTGGGCCTGGGCGCTGTCCCTCAGCTCTTCAGCTCAAGGCTAGTGCTCTATCACTTGAGCCACAGCTCCACTTCTGGCTTTTTTCTTTTTGCTTATGTGGTGCTGAGGAATCAAACCCAGGGCCTCAGGCATGCAAGGCAAGCGCTGTACCACTGAGCCACCTTCCCAGCTCCCCAAAATAGTATGGTGCTTGATGGCTCTGTAACTTTTGTTCTCAAAGTCATTCTTGTGAACCTAACCTAGACCCTCCATTTTAAATGGTCATGAATTTCATTTTCAGTACTGGGGTCTGAACTTGTGCTTACTAGGCAGACCCTATACCACGGAGCCATGCTTCCGACACTTTTCTGCACTCATTATTTTCAGATTAGCGTCTCAGGTTTTGTTCAGGCTAGGCTAGACAACCACCCTCGTATTTGAAACTTCCTGGCATAGCTAGGATAAAAGCTGTGGAGCACCATGCTCAGCTTTTTTTCCTGTGGAGATGGAGTCTCATGAACCTTTTTTTTGCCTGGTCCTATGTGGGCCTGCCTAGAACATTGATCCACCTGTTTTCAGCCTCCTGTATAATTAAGATAACAGATCCCAGTTACTGATTGAGAAGGGTTTCTTGTAAACTTGTTGCCCAAGCTGGCCTCAAACCAGGATCCTCCTTTTCTCAACCTTCTAAGTAACTAGGATTACAGAGGAGCGCCTCTGGTGCCCGGTTAGACTCTCCACCTTCCATACTACAACACCTCATAAACACCCCATTCCTCTTATACATCTCCTTATATCACCAGTCTGGCCCTTGGAGGTACTTGTTTGTTACCTATAGACAAGATCTCTCAAGTTCCTGGCCCTACAAGCATAACGTGAGACATTTCTTCATTTAAAAACATTTACAGACTATATTCTGTAATGAGAGATCACTGAATATCTGGCCCCTGCGCAGCTATGACTCCTGTTGATAATTGGTATGTGGTTGATTCTCAGTCAGTATACAAACCCTAATGAGGGTATAGATGTTTTCCTCTGGGGGAAAGATTTCCATCTTCTCACACAAAGCCTGAGCACACAGTATGTGCAGAGACGGAGCTATTGGGCCTTGTTTCCCCGTCACATGCCATATAAAGGAAATAGCAAAAGGATAGCCAGAGCGCTTATGCTTCATTGAGCTGGTCCAGAGAACTCAGGAGATTTTAGTTGTGGTATCGCGCCACATATTTTGACGTGTAATTCAAAACACAGGGTGGGAAACAAGAATGTGATTGGTCAACCAGGGGCTTTTTTTTGGAAAGGAGTAAAAATTAAATCAATAAGATTGAAGGGCCTGGGAATGTGGCTTAGTGGTAGAGTGCTTGCAGAGCACGCATGAAGCCCTGGGTTCGATTCTTCAGTACCACATAAACAACAACAACAAAAACAAATGTGAAAGTTGCGCTGTGGCTCAAGTGATAAAGTACTAGCTTAGAGCAAAAGAAGCTCAGGGACAGTGCCCAGGCCCTGAGTTCAAGCCCCAGGACTGGCAAAAAAAAAAAAAGATTTGAAGATCGTATAGTGGAATCAAACAAAAGATCAACCATTGATAGTCTGAAACAATGTAACTTAAACTATTTTTTAGCCATTCAGAAGTCTGGGAGAAGAAATGAGTGTAATTCACTTACACGGATTTTCAAATTACTGCTGTTGTCTGTGCTGTTTCTCCATCAAAACAGATCTCGTTCCTCTCCACCCTATCATCTTTGTTGTTAGTGTAAATTATGGCAGATAAAGATACAGATAAAGCAATCCAATGCCACCATCTGGAAGCATCCACTGAGCTGAGTCACCCAGCTGCTGTGCATGAGGAGACACAGGTAAACATCTGGTGTTGCATGTAGACAGTTAGTCCTAGCTGTTATTTGAAGGAAGACATGTTTTTCTACACTATTACAGAATTGTAGTCTGCTCATTCTCTACTACTCACTTAAGCAATTTTCCCACCTGAGCATGATGACACGTGAGTGTAATCCCAGAACTCAGGAACTTGAGGCAGAAAGAAGGTGAATTTGAGGCCAGTCTGGGCTACATAGTAAGATCTTGTCTCAGAAAAACAAAAGTAATAACAAGGAACCTTACAATCCCCCCTCTTGTTAATTCCTATACTCAGTAAAGTCCAGGGTCAATGTGACTACCAGTTTTGCCAGCTAAGAGGGGCTGGCAAAATAGAGGGCCTATGGAATGCTTTGTGTCCCTGGCCCAACCCTTAGAATGATTTTGGTTTTCCTCCCTCCCTCTCTATCATTGGTCAATTCAAGTACATGACTGAATACAAATAGTTATCTTTCCCTGAACCCTTTTGATACAGGTAGCAACTTTTGGCTCTCAATTATATCTTAACTACTCCAATTTTCAAGCTGGGTATTGCAAAACAATGTTTGTTTTATGTGACTCAAGCATTTATAATTCTAAAAGGATAACAATATGCTAAATACTCTTAACACAGGTCTTCTAAGAAATAGCTGGCTTGTTAGCAATCAAGTTGTGGATTTTCCTCATAAAGTGTTATCTTTGATTCCAGTAGTAGCAATTTGATTTACAATGTGAAAAATTACCAAAGATCTGTAGAAAATATGGCATTCTAAAAACTTGTTTTAAATGGCTTTAAATACAGGAGGAGACAGTTATGAATTCCAAACATGTAGATGGAAATGAACCAACAGAAGGAAGTAACCTACTGAATAGCAATGAGAAAAAGTTACGGGAAACACCCACAGAACTGAATTGTTTGCAAAGACTGAGATCTGCGTGGGCTTGCCCTCCACATGGGCTACTGGGCAGAGTAATAACAACTGGTAGGTATATGGAAAGGATGAATTCAGAAAGAGAAGGGCAAAAATGAAATTAGCACCTGGATGCCAATCACTCATGCCTGTAATCCCAGCTACTCTGAAGGCTGAGTTCTGAGGAGCTTGGTTTAAAGCCAACCTGGAGCAGAAAAGTCTGTGAGACTCCTCTATCCAATTGAGTACACAGAGCCGGAAGTGGAACTGTGGCTCAAGAAATGTAAACGCTTCAGGGACCCCAGGCCCTGACTTCAAGCCTCAGGATTGGCACCAAAAAAAAAAAAAAAAAAAAAGATGAGGTTATAATTCATCTTGGAATTATAATCCACCTTGGTTTAAAGGATGAAAGCAAGCATACTTACATAAAACCCAGCAGGGTAACAGTTTTCCAGGGTGAATGCTGCTGGGTTCCCATTCACAATGACTGGTCCACACAGTCAGTCATTCAAGGTCCCAGGTGACAAAGCTCCAACATAGTCAACCCAAGGTTTTCAGGATCACTGAGGTCAACGCCACCTGAGTCATCAGGAAGTGGAAAAAAACAGAGATCAAGGAACTTCTCCTTTAATACATCTGAGTAACTTTACAGAATTACATGAGGGCTTTAATGAGAAAAATGTTCGCAAAAAATCTCTTGTAAACAGAAAAATACAACCTAAGTTGGCTGGTATTACTGTAACTGCAAGTAATATGCAAGCAGATACAGCTCAATTTATGCTTCTAAATAAATCCTGTTACTTTATAAATAATAACCTTGGTTTATGATTCCATTTATTACAGTAGGACTGCCATTGCTTCTTAAACACATTGAGGAATTTTTGGGAGGACAAGGAGGTGTTAGTGTGTGTGTGTGTGTGTGTGTGTGTGTGTGTGTGTGTTCCACTTCTGCTTTTTTGGTGTTTAGTTGGAGATAAGAGTCTCACAGACTTTCCTGCCTGTGCTGGCTTGAACCATGATCCTCAGATCACAGATTCTTGAGTAGCTAGGATTGCAGGCATGAGCCACTAGCAGTCAGCTCACACAAATTTTGGAAATTATTTCAATTTGAATATAGATGTCTTCTAGGGATGGATTTTGGTTTTGGAGGCAATGAAAGATTATTGTATTATAAATGTGATGACTAAATGGATGTTCAGATTCAGTGAGGCCAATTTTGGTTGTATATTAAGAGTGTATGTTCATATGTGTCACTTTTGTTAAGAAATATGCAATCTAATTGGAAAAAGAGAAGTCTTTTGAAGATGTGGTATTTCAAAAATCATGCTGAGAAATTACAACACCATTGAGGTAAATAGATAGTGTCCCATAAAGGATGTAACTTCACTGAACAATGAAGCTTTTTTTCCCCCACCTTGGGGACAGGATGTCAATAGTTTAGGCTCACTTTGAACTTGTGATCCTCTGGAATTACAAACATGCACCATTATGTCCATTGCAATGCTTAAACCTTGATAGTTCCACTTCAGTTTGGGGCTCTGAAAGATGTCCTTTTTTTTTTAAACATTTCATTTGAGACAATGAAAGCCAAGTATAATATGATAGCTTTAGACTCTAGATATGTTTTTAATGAAATTAAGTTTTTGTTCTATATAGGAAAAAAATCTCAAACTTTATTTAGAACTTGTAGAGAAAACTAGATTCCAAAACATACACGCACTAATAAAGACACAGGTAATTTGATATTTTTTTTAACTTTGACCATTCAAAATATATTTTGATATCGTTTATATTTAAAAAGTGAATGATGTGACTTGAGAATTCATTTTTTTAAACTTTATAATCGTGGTCTACAAAGCTGCCTGAAAAATGAGCTCACAGTAGGAAGTTTGTATTTGTTTCCAGTTTTGCAAGATGACTTGATCTGTATTGGGTATTCTTTTTAAGAAATAAACCTTACATGTGAAAATATGATTTTCCAAAGTTATAAAGGAAAGTAAGTTATTAACTGATTTAAACATGGTTTAGAGAATAAGGTGGGCAAGAGGAAAGAGTTGATGAAATAAAGACAGAATATTCCAGAACTGATTTTGTAAAAAAAAAACATAATTTTTAAGCAAATGAAAAGGAAGCCACACCTAAACATATACATCATTCTGAAATTGCAGAAAGCCAAATGCGATCTTACAAACAAAAAGAAAGAAAAGAACCAAAATTAATAACAAAAATGAAAGCCAGGAATCCAAGGAGAATTATTTTCAAAGAACTGAGAGAAAAAAGTCTTTCATTCTAATAATGGAGCTATACCTGAGTTATACCTAGAAAAGCTATCTTTTGAGTATAAAGAGAAAGTAATTTCTGACAAAAATAGTAATTTACTACCAAAGATCTTCATGAGAAATACAGCATGATCTGACATAGCATTTCTCTATCAAGAATTGCATTTATGAAATGACATATAGAGAATTGTATTGGTGCCATACAGAATTTGCATGTGTTTTTGCATATCATTTTTCTGGCATATTACTATTTTTACATTATGCAATAGCACAATAAAACAAGATGAGTCAATAATAGAAAAGCCAGATGCTACTCAAGAGGGTGAGCTCTGAGGATCACAGTTCAAAGTTCTCCTGAGCAGAAATGTCTGTAAGAACCTTTTCTCACCAGGTGCCAGTGGCTCATGCTTGTAATCCTAGCTACTCAGGAGGCTAAGATCTGAGTATCACAGTTCAAAGCCAACCTGGCCAGGAATGTCCATGAGACTCTTATCTCCATTAACCACCAGAAAACCAGAAGTGGCACTGTGGCTCAAGCGGTAGAGTGCTAGCTTTGAGCTGAAGAGCTCAGGGACAGCACCCAGGCCCACAGTTCAAGCCTCATGACTGACAAAAAGAAAAAAAAATCTTTTCTCCAGTTAGCCAGCAACAAAAAAGCTGGAAATGGAGATGTGGTTCAACTGATAGAGCACCAGCCTTGAACACAGAAAGTTAAGAAAGAACACAAGGGCCTGAGTTCGAGCCCTGGCACAAATAAATAGAATAAAACCAAATACTGGAATTTAAGTATTCTCCTATACCCATAGAGAAGATAAAGACGGCAATTGTTCCTTATAATATTTACTGCTGATGTAATTGCAATAAAATTCTAAAGGAAAATAGGAATGACGAAAAAGGAAAATGGTGAAAAGAAGTTCAAGATAGTGACTTCTTTTGCAATGTGGAAGAAGATGGGGAACAGAGTTGGGAAGAACACAGGAGAAAATGCAACTGCACTGGTAATATCCTACTTCTTAAAATAGATGGGAATTATCCAGCTTGTATTCTTTGTCATTCATATATCATTATGGCCATATCAAAACCTGCCTGTGACAACTTGATAGAACCAAATTTTCTTGGCTTCTTCCAGTTACCATGGTTGTTCTTTTGTGGGCTGTCGTATGGTCAATAACAGGCAGTGAATGCCTTCCTGGAGGAAATCTATTTGGAATTCTAATCTTGTTCTATTGTGCTGTCATTGGAGGAAAACTGTTCAGCCTCATTAAGTTACCAACATTGCCTCCACTGCCTCCTCTTCTTGGTAAGTGCTGAATGTTTCCTGTTTTCTCCAGAGTAAATTGTATTTTTTTTAAAACGAATTGTAAGTTTGGAAGGCTTTGGGAACTAAAGCAATACAATATTTCTCTATTTGTTGTAGTAGGGCCAGAAGCCAATTATTAAATTTTGTGAGCCAGTTATTAAATGTGATTTTTTTAAGGTAAACTATTTCAGGTGCTGGTGCTGCTGGCTCAGACTTTTTGTAATCCTAACTACTCAAGAGGTTGAGATCTGATGATCAAGATTCAAAGTTAATCCAGGCAAGGAAGATCCTGCAACTATTATCTCCAGTTAACCACCAAAAAAAAAAAAAAAAAACCTATAAATGAAGCTGTGGCTCAAAAGATTAGAGCACCAGCCTTGAGCAGAAAAAAATAAGGAACAGTGGCTGGAGTTCAAGCCCCAGTAATGACCCACATACACAAAAATCAAAGTGTGGAAACTTACAGTTAAACTGCTTACATTACAAAACAAGAGCTAGCGACACTCAGCATTGGTTGCTTCTTAATTATTCCACATTTCCCCTTATCCGTGCTCCGTGGGCGGTGGAGCTTGTATAATGGAGGACCATGACCTGTTTCTTCTCAATGGCACATGGTGACATCATTATTGTAACATAACATCAGTTTGGTGGAAGTTTCTGTAACACCGAAATCAGTAAATGCTATAAATCAGGGATCGCTGCATTGTAAGTTACTTCTGTCATCAACAATGAATGATGCTCTGATGCATATTTTCATTGTTACATTTCCCTCTTATTCCTTACCATAAACCTATCAGTCCGCATTCACGGCAACCCTATACTCACTCATCAGTGATGTGAGTGGCTGCTGAATCAGGCCTCAGGCCCTCCTTCATTCTTACATTGATTTTTTCAAATCCTCAACTGTGACCGTTTTTGGTGATGATCACAGAAGTTTGGCAAGCAACAGTGACAATCGATTGAGGGACCAATTACATGTGGGGCATGGCATGCACTTGTCCCTTTACGTTTGTTGATCATATTTTAATTTTACCCTGTGCACACTGCACTGACCATTATATTTAACAAAAAGCAGTCAATGAAGACTCATACATATCATCACCAAATTAACAGTCTATAAATGGCCCAGACTTAAGAGACTTTCCCCTATATTAAACGACAATGGTAAAAGTGTGCCAGTAAATGCGGTCCTGCCTCTGAGCCTGTAATAAGTCATAAACTACAACCCATAGCTGTCATTGGCTCTGTTCTCACAGAAGATCCCCTTACTTTCTCTAGCCATGTGAAGTAGGAGCTTACAAGGACAAGGGCACACTTGGAGGATAGGAGCTTGACAGGTCTGATAGAGGAATCGTGTGTGTGTGTGTGTGTGTGTGTGTGTGTGTGTGTGTGTGTGAATACTGATGTTTGAACTCAGAACCTAGGCACTGTTTCTTAGCTTTTGTCATTCAGTACTGGCACTCTACCATTTGAGCCACAGTGCCACTTCCAGCTTCTTGCTAGTTAATTGGATATGAGACTCAAAGAGCCAGAGCCAGTGACTCATGCTGTAATCTTAGCTACTAAGGAGGCTGAGATTTGAGATCAGGGTTCAAAGCCAGCTTGGGCAGGAAAGTCCGAGAGACTCTTATCTCCAATAAACTGCCAGAAAACCAGAAGTGGCACTGTGGCTCAAGTGGTAGAGCACTAGCCTTGAGCTGAAGAGCTGAGGAACAGTGACCAGGCCCAGAGTTCAAGGCCCACGACCAACCAAAAAACAAACAAACAAAAACAAAAAGAGTCTCAAAGACTTTCCTACCCAGGCTGGCTTCAAACCATAATCCTCAAATCTCAGCTTCCTGAGTAGTTAGGATTATAAGTATGAGCTACCACACCCAGCCATTTTACTCTTTTATGTCCATTATAAAGCCTGTCTTTGCCTAATTTATATTATTTTAGTTTTTTTCGCTTAAAAGTTTCACTTAATTTAACCAAAGACTACACATAGGGAGAAATCATATAGTAGTCTCTGTCACGTGCAAAGTACCAGAAAATATTTCCTATATTTGAAAACTGACTTGTGTTATTTGACTTCTCCACTGAAGGCATGCTGCTTGCTGGGTTTCTCATCAGAAATATCCCAGTCATCAGTGACAATGTGCAGATCAAGCACGATTGGTCTTCCTCTCTGAGGAGCATAGCCCTTTCCATCATACTGGTTCGTGCTGGCCTTGGTTTGGATCCAAAGGTATGAATTACTGGATTATTATTGAACAGGATATTTACCCTCCCACATTCCAAGTATTTGGAATCCCTGAGACTCAGGAAAGAGATGGGGAGAAACGAGGAGATACCATTTGCAGCGATCAGAATAAAGACACTGAGATCTGAGGATCACAGTTTGAAGCCAACTTGGGCAGAAAAGTCCATGAAACAATTCAATATACTTCTCAGAAATAGCCAGAAATGGTGCTGGAACTCAAGCAGGAGAGTGGTAGCCTTGAGCACAAAGAAGCTCAGGAACAGCACCCAGGCCCTGAGTTCAAGACCCAGAACTGGCAAATAAATAAATAAAAATGAAATGATACTATTACTTGTCTCATAGGGTACTTCTGAGGACTTCAGATGCTCTCTAAAACACTGAAATGTTTGTTAACATAAAATGTATCATCCGGAAAATTCATGATGCAGCAGATCTCGTCTGAATACTGAAGAGAAGGTGTTTAAGGTTATGATCTTGGAGTGTCTTCAGGGGATTCTATTACTAAGTCTATGCTTGTATTCCAGGCCCTGAAGAAGCTGAAGGGTGTGTGTGTCCGACTGTCCATGGGGCCTTGTATTATAGAGGCATGCGCAGCCGCTGTTCTTGCTCACTTGCTGATGAGGTTGCCATGGCAGTGGGGATTTATCCTGGGGTAATGATTTCTTCTTTGTTGTGTAGAGATAGGCAGGGACACTTAGGGCACTCCCTAGTTCTATCCAAGAGAAGGCATCGTGATATTTTCTTTGTTTTGTTTTGTTTTTTGGGTCTGGTCGTGGGGCCTGAATTCTGGGCCTGGGCGCTGTCCCTCAGCTCTTCAGCTCAAGGCTAGCACCCTGCCACTTGAGCCACAGCGCCACTTCCGGCTTTTTTCTTTTTGCTTATGTGGTGCTGGGGAATCGAACCCAGGTTCCTCAGGCATGCAAGGCAAGCGCTCTACCACTGAGCCACCTTCCCAGCCCCGGCATCGTGGTATTTTCTTAAGGACACAAGAAAATGCAACTAGAAAATGTAGCATCATCTAAATGTTCTCATTTCATAATGCGGTTCAAAGCCAGCCAGGGCAGAAAAGGCCATAGGACTCTAATCTCCCCCACCAAAAAGCCAGAAGTGGAACTGTGGCTCAAGAGGTATAGCACTAACTTAGGGCACAAAAGTTCAGGGACAGCACCCAGGAAATAATTTCAAGCTCCAAGACCAGCACACACACACATACACACACACACACACACACACACACACACACATCAAAAGGTATATGGTAAGAATTTAACACTAATAAGTAGACAAGAAAGCAAGAAGTAAGAAATTCTTCTTTTTTTTTTAAACCTGTTCACATTTATTTAATTATCATAATGATTACAATTAATGAGGATTCCACAACTTTATTTGTAGTAATGTAAGTAGGATGTCTAACTGAAAAATAGAAAACCAGTTGTTTGTTCTACCCAAAAAAGTGTCCCTTTGTACTGTGGTCTGTTTGAGCCCAAACAGAATGTGTGGCTCCAAAAGTGGCCGCCTCTGCCTCCTATTCCAGGTATGGGTCCCTTCCCTTAATTCTTTTTTTTTCCCTCCCCTCTCCCCTTTCTTTTTCTTTTTTTTTTAATTTAATTTTATTTGTGAACATACTGTACAGAGGGGTTACAATTACATGGGCAGGATAATGCATACATTTCTTACCAAGCATTGCAGCCTCCTCATTTGTTTACCCTTCACATCCCTTCCCAGCCTCCCCCTCCCCCATCCCAATCCTTCTCCTTCCCCCCTCCCCCCCCCCACACCAATGTTGTAAAGCTCGTTTTGAACATGACAACTTGTACTTCTCATTGTTGCAACAGGTCCACCTGTATCCTTAACAACTGGTTTTTCCCCATCTCCTCCACAAGTTATACTGACATCAAATATAGTGAAAGCAGGGGTTATACTGTGGGGGAGGGACATACAAAGCAACAAAGAGATAATCTTATAAATGCATTAGAAACACATGCATGAAAGAAAAAAACATTAAAATACATATCTAACGGTTCATTTTCCTGACATCACATTATCTGACCTTTTCCGCTTGACTCATAAATGGAAAAACTTGGAAAAAATTATATTAAGTGAAGTAAGCCAGGCCCAAAGAAACACAGGTCCCATGGTTTCCCTTATTTACAATATCTAGTATATGTCTGAGTCAAGCAATTCTTCTTATGGTTAAGCTTCCTGCCTGGATTCAGATCCCAGTTTTGTGATTTTCCCAGTTTGATCTTTCACATGCTATGCCATTTCTCTGTGTCTCAATTTCTTCATTTATGAAAATGAATTTGTGAGGGTTCAATCATTTTGTTTTGCTTTGCTTTATGGGGGTACTGGGGCTTCACTTCAGGGCCTAGACATTTGTCCCTTAGCCTTTTCTGCTCAAGGCTGTTGTTCTACCACTTGAGCCACAGCTGAAGTACATAAAATGCTTCCTGGTTTTACAGCTGCTGCCATCCTAAGAATCATATTGCTGTCGTTATGTCATTTTGTGAATCTGTCTTTCTTGATATATGAAGTCCTAATTGAAGGCCCACCATTGCTTGGTTCCTATTCAGAGCATCCATGGCAGTTTTTCCTTCCTCACAACATAGTGTGTTGTTTTAGAACAGCAACCTCAGCCCCATTCATCCTATATTTCATTCATAAAGACATTTTTATTTGTATTGCTAGTATTAGGGCTTGAACTCAGGGCCTGGGCGTTGACCCTTAGCTTTTTCACTCAGGGCTGGTGCTCTACCACTTGAGCCACTACTCTACTTCTAGCTCTTTGCTGGTTAATTGGAGATAAGAATCTCATGGACTTTTCTACCCAGGCTGGCTTTGAACTGCAATCCACAGATCTCAGTCTCCTGGCTAGCTAGGATTACAGGTGTGAGCCACTAGTGCCCAGATTTTAATATATGTGTGTGTTTAAAGATATATATGTGTATATCAGATATATATGTTAAGATATATCATATAAATATAATAAACATATATATATACTTTTTTAGATAACCTATATCTACTTTTAGACAACTTAAATGTGTATGTGTATGACTATACTTTGACAAAATGTTCTGTTTCACGATAAACTATAAAGCGGATAGTGCTTCTGGTTTGATGTTTTTCTGCCATTTGAAAGGTTGTAGTTGTCCAAAGTCTAACCTTTAAAAGCATAGAGAAAAAGTAAAAGTTGTTATAATTTTTGTTGTTGTTGGCTGTAGGCCTTGAATTCAGGGCCTGGATGCTGTCCCTGAACTCTTTTTTTACTCAAGGCTACCAACTCTACCATTTTGAACCACAGCTCCACTGCTAGTTTCTTTGTGGTTAATTGGAGATAAGAGTCTCACAGACTTTCTTGCCCAGGCTGGCTTTGAACTGCGATCCTCAGATCTCAGCCTCCCGAGTAGCTAGGATTTGAGGCGTGAGCCACCAGCACCGGCTTATAATGATTTTTAAGACTAAGAATCAGTAAGATGCGATCACAAATGTCTAAAGCGCTGCGTGCTTAGCTTTGTTTTAGGTGCTGTGTCTCCGGCTGTGGTGGTGCCTTCAATGCTCCTTCTGCAGGGAGGGGGCTACGGTGTTGAGAAGGGAGTCCCCACCTTACTCATGGCTGCTGGCAGCTTTGATGACATCCTGGCCATCACTGGCTTCAACACGTGTTTGGGCATGGCCTTCTCTACAGGTAATAAGAGGACAGTGTGTTCTCTTGGGGACAGGCTGTATTGTTATAAGCAGGGCATATTTGCTCAAGGCAAGTTAAAAATAGGAAAGCAATGGCAGGTGTGTACCTAAGGAGGATCAGAGGCTGCCTTTCCTTCCTGCTTGCCTCCAGAGAGAGAGGCCGCACAAGTAACATGGAGAAAGTTGGGGAATGGGGATGGAAAGCACAGGGAAGGGAAGGAAAGCAGCTTCCTCTTAGAGGGATCTAAGGAAAATTTTAATCTATATATTTCTCTCAAAGGATGGATAGGTTTTACAAAGAGCGTACAAGACAGAGTAGTCTGAGAGAAAGGAAGAGCCTACTTCGTGTGTGTGTGTGTGTGTGTGTGTGTGTGTGCACGTGCACTCACACACGTACGTACACTCACACGTGCACACACTCTCCCTTGGCTCACTCAATGCTAGTGCTCTATCATTTGAGGCACAGCTCTACCTCCAGCCTTTTACTAGTTAACTGGAGACAAGAGTCTCATATGCTTTCCTGCCGGGGCTAGCTTTTTTAAAAAAAGATTTTACTGTTATTGTAGAGGTGAAAGACAGAGGAGTTATAGTTACGTGAGACAGGTAATGAGTACAGTTCTTTTGGAACCATGTCTCCCCTTCCCTCTCTCTCTCCCCCAGTTTTTCCCTCCCATTCCCATCTACAAGATGTACAGTTCATCTCCCATATAGTATCTAGTGAGTACCATTGTTGTATTTGTTCACCCTTTGTTTTACCTTTTCTGAGCCACCTTTACCCTCCAAACTATCAAATATGACAAAAGGAAAACAAAAATAGCAACAGCAACTTAAAAAAAACACTCTTGTTTCCTTTTCTTGGAATTCATTACATAAAGTATTATTTTATAGGATCAGATGTACATAGCTTTTGAGCCTTTGTGATCCATTCCTATGAATATCCCCCTTTGGCCTCAATGTATGAATGCCTAGAAACCTATATAATTTATCATGTCCCAGTGTATTATTTTTAATCATTCAGTGTGTTTACTTCTAGATTTATAGGTACATTCTAGCTACCACAAATGAATGAAACCAAGCAACCTTTGTTTCTTTGGATCTGGCTTACGTTGCTTAATATGATTTTTTCCCCAAGTCTTTTCATTTCCTTACAAATGGTACAATATCATTCTTTCTAATAGATAAGTAGAATTCCACTGTGTAAATATGCCACATTTTCTTGATCCATTAGTCCAGTGAGGGGCATCTGGGTTGATTCCATATCTTGACTATGGTAAATAATGCAGCAGTAAACGTGATTGAGTTGGTCATTTTAGTGTGGCAGTTTTTGTGTTCTACTGGATAAATGCCCAGGAGTGAGATTCTGGGTCATAGGGTAGCTCTATGTTTAGCTTTTTAGGAACTTCCATACTGTTTTCCAGAGTGGAACCAATTTATATTCTCACCAACAGTGTAATAGAATTCCCTTTTGGAACATCCTGGCCTGGGCTGGCTTTGAACCAAAATCCTCAGATCTCAGCCTCCTGACTAGTGGGAATTATAGGTGTGAACCACTGGCATCTGTCCTAGCACACTTCTAAAATAAGAACAATTTCTCTTCTCTCATCTACAGCATTTTATGGGCAATAATAGCAATGATTTTAATGGATATCTTATTAGTGCTTACTAAGTATCTGAAGTGGATGTATTTTGCTTGAAATAGTAATGAAAGAAGAACTCAAGGAACTTGCCACACTATTATTTAATACTTTCACTAAATGGATAAAAACAAATACTATACCTTATCTTAGGCAAAAGGCTAAGAAAGAAGTGTTTCAATGTCTTTATTTTTCTTCGACACAGCATGAGTTTTGTCCAAAATTTGCAACTTCCTATCGCTGAGAAAGTGTAAGTGTAGTTTAGCTTCAACTTGAATTTGCTTCATGGAAGTACATTCCTGGCAAAATCACCCATTCTCATTTTCTCGAAGTTACTCTTATATTAAAATTATATATGATTTATACTGATTACCCTAGAACCTCCACCATTCCATCCATTGCTCTAGAAGTCTGCTGTTTATCCTGGCAAATTACTCTTCTCAAAATCCTGTCCTCATATATTACTTCTTGGTCAGGAACAATTAGTTTCCCTTGTCCCTCTTAGGTCCAATACACCCATCCTCTTGTCTCTTATTATAACACTAGTGTGCCTGTACAGACTTACATTCCCACTGTTTTCCTGGTAACGCATCTTTAAAACCATGGTTCTCAGTCCTAGCTGCACATTACAGTTGCCTGGGGAGTATTCTTTTCTTTTTAAAAAACACTCCCATGGGAAACATTACCTTAGACCCATCAAATCAGACCCCTTGGGAATGGAAGCAGTGTAGCCAGGATTAAGAGTCATGGCTTCAGGGTAACAGTTACTTTGAGTTTCATTAACACCAAGGTTGGGGAGGGGGCGAGGCAGGGAGACAGCCGCTGAGGGAAAATGTGGGTAGCTTGAAGAATCTCACTGAGCCCAGTGAGATTCACTGAATTTGAATTTTCTGAGATTGAGCCCCCCATACTATTATTTTTTTTGCAGCCTGACATGCAACAGATTGAAATGAATGAGCTACATGCTTTGACATAAATGTTCTATAGTAATAGCTTGAGCATGATGTTACCATAACACCTAGATGCTTCTGCCTGTGACGCCTTTTATCTGACAGCTATCCTAGCCATATAAAATTACTTCACAGGCTATTATTTTTTAAATAAGAGAAGTGATTACCATAGTAACAGGAAACCACAATTATGAGGGAGCACATTTTTTTTTCCTTAGAATAACCTTGAAAGATTGCTTTATGGGTAGGACAATTTTAATATAATTTTCTACACAATGTGCTAACAACTTTTTACAATTAAAGTTTCCTAAATCATGCTTACTGTGAGAGAAAAACATGGGTTCTACTCTTCTATCTTACAATATTTCTCATAATGATTCTACTAAAAGAAAATTCAGGGGCTGGGAAGTGGCTCAGTGATAGAGCTTGCCTTGCATGTATGAACCCCTGGGTTCAATTCTTCAGCACCACTAATCAGAAAAAGGCAGAAATGGTTCTGTGGCTCAAGTGGTAGAGCGCTAGCCTTGAGATGAAGAGCTAGGCACAGCGCCCAGGCCCAGAGTTCAGGCCCCACAACTGACCAAAAAAAAAAAAAATTCAAAAGTAATTTACTCAATATAATTTTTTTCACTATTATTTTTCTACACTTTTTTCAATGTTTTTTATAATAAACACTTGAGAAGGAATAAGAGGATTTTTAAAAATTTCAATTGCCATATTCTTTAGTTACTATACACACAAACAGATCAAAGTTACCAAAAATAAATGTACATCTATCAGAGTCATCCCTTCCATCGTTCTCCCCATCCTATTTACCTCTCTCCACCAGATTGATTTCACATTTCCTGCTTCCTTTATCATCTCTGTACATTGAGTATTCTGACTGTATTTGTCCCATTCCCTTTCTTCATTCACTCCCTTCCAAGTACTTCCCCTCCCCTCTCACAATCCATTTCAGCTTCCTGAAACTCATTTTTTAAACTGCTTGTTAATTGTTCAAGAGATTTACTCTATCTTGTTTCACTCCTACATATACTATTCTGTAGTCAACTTAAATATATGCATATATAGGCATATGCCCCTGTGTATGTTTTACATGTGAGATTGCATTCTAGGTCTAGGATCCACATTTGAGAATAAACACACATCCTTTTCCTTCCAGGGTGATAGACCTATTTTATCAGGCATTCTAATTCACATATATTTAAGGTTGTAGAGGATAGGAAATGCCCCGAACAATCTCCTTCCAGGGACTTGATGGCTATAAATTAAAGCCTGTGTAAAGCCTGTGCATTGATGGATTTTGAGTTCTGTCTGGTTTGTCTTTTCACGTATTTTTCAGGCTCCACAGTGTTCAATGTCCTCCGAGGTCTTTTGGAGGTGGTGATCGGTGTGGCAACTGGGATTTTTCTTGGATTATTTATTCAGTTCTTCCCAAGCACTGACCAGGTAAAAGAAAGAAATCTGGGAAAGTCAGGCTCTCAAATGTCATTGGAAAATGTATACTAGAACATGCCCCCAAAACCTGGCAAGCATAACACTGAGAAATGCTATCTGCTACAGGGAACTCAAGAAACTAATCCCTCCCAAACCTAACAAACCAATTACTAAATGGGCAAGAGAACTAAAGAGGGACTTCTCAAATGAAGAAATAAAAATGGCAAAGAAACACATGAGGAAATGTTCATCATCCCTGGTGGTGAAGGAAATGCAAATAAAGACAACCCTGAGATACCACCTTACCCCAGTCAGAATGTCCCACATCCACAAATCAGCCAACGACAAATGCTGGAGGGGATGTGGAGAACGAGGAACCCTATTACACTGCTGGTGGGAATGTACACTTATACAACCACTTTGGAAAGCAGTCTGGAGGGTCCTTAGAAAGCTAAAGATTGACCTCCCTTATGACCCAGTCATACCACTTCTAGGCATCTACCCTGAACAACAGGAACCAATATACAAGGACACGTGCACCTCCATGTTTATTGCAGCACTGTTCACAATAGCTAGGATATGGAAACAACCCAGATGTCCCACCACAGATGAATGGATCCAAAAATTGTGGTATCTATACACAATGGAATATTATGCAGCCATTAGAAATGACAAAATAATGGCATTTGCAGGGAAATGGATGGAGCTAGAAGGAATCATGTTGAGCGAGGTAAGCCAAGAGCGAAGAGACAAATGGTACATGGTCTCCCTGATAAGTGGATGCTAAATCCAAAATGTTAGGTGATACGACAAATTAACAGGACTTAAGAAACAAAGAACTCCCACTCATCTGGTCGAACCACTACTAAATATCCCCATGCTGCTGATCACATGTATGGTGTATATGTGTACACCGTTATATGCTATAGACTGTGATAGACAATTTGCTCCAGGAAAGTTAGAATGAACTTGTGACTTTAAATGAGCATCATTATTCCACAATACTGTGAAATTCTGGAAATTATGTAATCACTTAATCACAATCAAAAAAAAAAAAAGAACCTCGGGGAAGGTAGGGAGGGAGGGGATGGTAGGGGGAAAACAATGGAGGGGGTAACAATGCTCAAGAGCAAGTGTACTCATTACCTCACTCATGTAACTGTAACCCTCTGTATAGTATCTTTACAATAAAAAAAATAAATAAATGAAAAAGTTAAAGTGCCTGAGTCCTGACAGTGGCCAGACCTGAGTCCAAGTTCCAGTACTGGCACAAAAAGAAGTAAGAGAAGGACCAGTGGGCTGGGAAGGAAGGAAGGAAGGAAGGAAGAAAGGAAGGAAGGAAGGAGAGAGGGAGGGAGGGAGGGAGGGAAAAAAAAAGAAATGCTATAAGGAGGATAAATGGGACGGCAGCCCAGAGACTCTTTCTAATTTCTATTCTGCACATTTTAATTGCATTGTAGAACAAATAACAAGCACTGCACAATAAGGTAGACTATGCAAGTTTTCTTGAAGTTTTGTAATACCCAACTAAGGATATATATGACTTCTTGTCTCCTTTTTTTATTATTAATTAGATAATAGCATCTTATGCAATATAAGAAGTTATTTCTTCCCAAAGAGATCAGAGTTCTTCACTGTACACAATGACATATACTATATTGGGAGGAAGGTGGTGGGAGAGGAGAGTCTGAGTCAGGATCTGGCTGTGTAACCCACCCAGATTGGCTCAACGCTTGATCTTCCTGGCTTAGCCACCTGAGTGCTGGGATTACAGGCATGTACCACCATGCCTGGTTACCCAGTGATTTCTGAACCAGAAACAAAGGTAGTTGTTGTTGCTTGTTTTTCTTTCACCTTCCAGAGAATTAGGTAGAAATGTTTTTAGTGGGATTATTTTGAAATTTCAAAGTATTTAGGGCTGGGAAGGTGGCTCAGTGGTAGAGCGATGCCTTGCATTCCTGAGGCCCTGGGTTCGATTCCTCAGCACCACATAAGCAAAAAGAAAAAAGCCGGAAGTGGTGCTGTGGCTCAAGTAGTAGAGCGCTAGCCTTGAGCTGAAGAGCTGAGGGACAGCGCCCAGGCCCAGAGTTCAGGCCCCACAACCGGACCCAAAAAAAAATTTTTTTTCAAAGTATTTAGAAACGAATTGAAAACTTAAAGCAACATTTAAATTAATGTATCCATTATTGCAAGGTAAATGGATTTGAAATTTTATCATGCTTCAAAAATCTTATGAATGATTGTATATACAAACTGTGAATATATAAGTCCAGTATGTAAAACAACAGAAATCTAATGTAAATTAAGTCATCGCCTGGGGCCTCTCTGTTCGGTACAGAATTCACTAGCAGCATGGCGAATAAACAGCATTTCACAAGCAGCACAGATACTGAACATTTCCACCAACAGTAAGCATTTGCTTTTTGTATTTTTGTCAGACTAGGGCTTGAACTCAAGGTCTTGTGCTTGCTGTGCATGCCCTCTACCACCTAAGTTATACCCTCAGCCCTTTTTGCTTTAGTTATTTTTTGAGATAGGGTCTGGTGTTTATGCCCTGGCTAGCCTGGACCACTGTTTACTCCTATGTTCCCAGAATAGCTGGAATTAATTCATTTGCTACAGCACCCACCCTTTAATTAGTTGAAATTGAAGCATAAACAGGATGGTGACTTGAACAGCTCACATAGCTAGAAAGCAGGAAAGCTGGAAGAAAACTCAGTATGCATGTCTCTGAGCAATCACTTGGAAGACTTACTTTCTAAAAGTTGTCAAAAAAATTTTAAGTGAGAAGAGAGATATGTATATAATCCTTAGATTTTAAAATGACAAAAACAAATGACTATCCTAGGTCTATTGCTTCTTAAAACTTCTTGATATGCAGGAACTGAGGGAGAAAAAATCAAAGATGCATCAAGTTAAAAAGTAATCAGAGCAAGGTATGGCCTGAGTTTCTCAGGAGGCTGAGATGTGAGGATTGTGCTTAGAAGCCAGCTTGGACAAGAAAGAATGCAAAATATCTCCAATTGAAGCACAAAAACAGCCAGAAGCGGAGCTGTGGCTCAAGTGGTAGAACACTAGCCTGGAGCAAGTAAGCTTAGAGGTTTATAAATTGGTCATGGAACTGAAACAAACAGCTACATAGAACAATTCTGTTTTACAGTAGTTGAATAATGATATTGTCATGTTTTGCTGTAAAGTCAATGTTTTACAAGAAGGTGGATTGTTTTACAATTTCTGTAAATAATTATGAATAATACAAAGAAATATTGAGTAATTGGCCAAGGCAAATATATTTTGAGGTAGATTAGTAAGATCTATCTATCTGTCTACCTAGCTATAAGAGTTTTGTCCCCATAACAGTAATGCATAGCTGTGTCTTAAAGTAAATATTTTTCTTTTATTTACCTCAAAATTTCAAAAAAAAAAAAAGAAGAAGAAGAAAGAAAGAAAGTTTAGGGACAGTGCCCAGACCCTGAGTTAAAGCCCCAGGACTGGCATGTGTGCATAAGCATGTGCGTGTGCGTGTGCGTGTGCGTGCACACACACACACACACAGAACTATATATTTAACTTTTATAATGATATAAGAAGTTAAAGTGGTGTTGTGACTCAGTTGGTAGAGCACTAGCCTTGAGCACAAAGAGGCTCAGGGACAGTACCCAGGCCCCAGGTTCAAGCCCCACAACCGACAAAGAAGAAAAGAAGAAGAAGAAAAAAGGAGGAAAAAATTATAGCCTGGCACTGTTGGCTCACGCCTGTAATCCTAGCTACTCAGGAGGCTGAGTTCTGAGGATCCAGGTTCAAAGCCAGCCCAGGCAGGAAAGTTTGTGAGCCTCTTATCTCCAATAAACCACTAGAAAACTGAAAGTGGCACTGTGGCTCAAGTGGTAGAGCACTTGCCTTGATCTGAAGAGCTGAGGGATAGCACCCAGGCCCAGAGTTCAAGCCCAACAATCAACAATATATATAGAAGTTGTTAAAACAGAGCTTAGAGAGGTTTTAACAATAGTTTAAAAAGCCAGGCTTGCCAGACACTGGCAGCTTGTGTCTTAAAATCAATCCTAGCTACTCATCAGGCTTGGTATCGGGAGGGAAGATTGTGCTGCCAGACCAGCCAGGGCAGAAGAGCCCGAGAGATTCATTCTCCACAGAGGGAAGCGGTACATGGTGGTCACACCATTATCCTCACAGTGATGGGAAGCCTGAAGTGGACAGATGGTGGCTCAGGCAGGAGCCGGATGGGAAGGGAGACCCTATTGTAAAAACAACCAGGAAAAAATCAAGGCTGCAGTTGTGGCTCAGTGGAGTTACGCCAGCATGGCCAATGAGAGACCCTGAGTTCAAACTCTCAGAATTCACACACGCACGTGCACACACACACACACACACACACACACACATACACGCACGCACAACTTTTATCCCAGGTCTGTCTGGCTCCAGAACCTATATGTGTTTCTCTACTAGTCCAACTCTGCTTTGATCCTACTGGTGCAAGGAATTGGTGTTTCTAAAACAGAAACTTGGATTTGTTACTCTGCTCTGTTAAGGAAGAAAGAGTAGATGTTGCTGTGCAGTGACACAGGCATTTAGTATTTCCCTCTAACTCCTGGAGATGGAAAGATCGGTTACTTGGAATAGTTGAATGGATCACCTCTCTTCTTTTTCAGGACAACCTTGCATGGAAAAGAGCTTCCCTCCTCTTGGGGTTCGCAGTGCTGGCTGTGTTCAGCAGTGTGCGGTTCGGTTTTCCCGGATCTGGAGGGCTGTGTACCTTGGTCATGGCTTTCCTTGCAGGCCTGAGATGGGGCACCACCAAGGTGCATTGTACTTCCAAGTTCTTCTGCTCATGACTCTTTTGGTCAAATTGATTGAAAGGGACACCTTCGTAACATTAAATGAGTAACATTATTACTTGTAAAAGCTATTTCCTACCTATACAGAAATGTAAACCCAATGCCCACATACAAATCACTGTTTTACCTTTTACACAAGTCTAGATGCTAGGTACCAGTGGCTCACACCTGTCATCCTAATTACTCAGCAGACAGATCTGAGGATTGAGGCTCTAAGTGAGCACTGAGAGACTCTTATCTCCAATTAACCACCAAAAAAGCCAAAAGTGGAGCTGTGGCTCAAGTGGTAGAGTTGCAATCCTTGAATGAAAAAAGCTAAGGAACAGAGCTCAGGCCCCAGTACCAGCACAAAAAAAGAAAGGGAGAGAGAGACACACACACACACACACACACAGAGACAGAGAGACAGAGAGATTAGATAGGAGAGAGAGATCATGGCCATATTATCCTGAGATAATCTTTGTTCTTTAATATCTGCAGGGTAGTTAAGCCACACTTAACAAGTCTCTTAATAACACAGTGGTGGTGTTCTAGTTTCATGTCAAGACAAACAGTGCTTTAATAAAATATTTTACAAAAAATATATTTCATACACTGTAAGACATTTCAATTCTAAAAACCACAGTCATTGTATATGCCAGTTCAACTGGCACATCCTAATTTCTGAAGTGTTAAAATGTAAAAAAAAATAAAAGACATTAAAAATCAACAAAATATTTCATATCTTTGAATTTCTCCATGGCATAAATTCCTAGAAATAGGGTTGCTTAAGGAAGTGTGATCACTTTTACCTTTGGTCATATCAATTTACTCCTATAAGAGGCTTTGTCAATTTACAGTTCCAACAAAGTATGAGAGGATCTGTTCTTCTGATTTGAGTATTTACTCGTCATACATTTTGTTAATTGAGTAGATGAAAAAGATGTAGTATGTCTGATCTAAATTGCATTTTTACAAATGCACATTCTTTACAATTATTATTATTAGTTACAAGACAATTGTCCTAAAACCTTTGACCACTTTTATAACGTTATTTGAGTTTTTCTTACTGATTTTCAAGAAAATTAACATTAACAATATTCATTTTCTCAGTATACATTATGTTTTCTCAATATATACTATGGAAGTTATCTTGTTGCTATTTGTTTACTAACACACTTTTATACAGTTGAATTTGACAAGATCATATGCAATTCTGATTAATGAAGAGACTAGATATTGGTGACCCAAACTAAATGTACCTAGATCATTTTGCAGTAATCTTATGAACTGAAAAGCAAATATTTAAAATATTTTAGTTTATACAAAATTTTTGTGTATGACTACTTGTATTTGCATAAAATTACTGTGTATGTCTTATTTTTTGTTTTGTTTTTGTTTTTAGTCAGAGGTTGAAAAAATAATTGCAGTTGCCTGGAATATTTTTCAGCCCCTTCTTTTTGGGCTCATTGGAGCAGAGGTATTTGTTGCATCTCTCAGACCAGAAACTGTCGGTAAGAATTTCAAAGTACTTGGGTTAAAGTAAAATCTCTTTATATTCAGTTGAAATATCCTCAATAGATATGGGTTCAGTACTTCCCATGATCACAATTATATGAAAACTTAATTATGATCTGTCTTTTAGAGTAATTGGCTAGAAAATGATGCTTCACAATCTAGAACCACAGCATGTGGAAAGATAGATGGATGGATGGACAGATGGATAGACATTTCCCCCAAGGATAAGAATGTACATACAGTCTTGTTCAACATCAAGGACCAGAATTTTGAAGATAACTAATTAGTTGGGGATGGGGCGGGGGGTGAGGGGGGGCACTTGTGCACTAGGGTGTGCCAGTCCTGGGGCTTGGCTCTCTCAGCTTTTTTGCTCAAGGCTAGCATTCTACCACTTGAAGCACAGTTCTACTTCCAGGTTTTTGGTGGTTAATTGGAGATTAAACTGTTTTAGTACTGGAAATTATCTATGGTTATGGTAGCGAAGAAGTTGGGGGAGAATGCAGTCAAAAATTTAATGTTGTCAGTCACTGGTGGCTCATGCCTATAACCCTAGCTACTCAGGAGGCTGAGATCTGAGGATTGCAGTTCAAAGCCAGCCCAGGCAGGAAAGTCCAATTAACTACCAGAAAACCAGACGTGCTGCTGTGGCTCAACGTGGTAGAGTGCTAGCCTTGCCCTGAATTCAAGTCCCACAGCCAATAATAATAATAATAATAATGTATATCCTACAAAATCAAAAAAAGTGAGGGAAGAGATGGCTTGGGAGAAATGGGTGAGAATGTGGAAGGGGTGACATTGATCAAGATGCATTTTATTTATAAACTGCTTTGTTGAAAACAACCCCTTCATACAACTACTTAAAGGTATGAAAATTATGAATGTTTTAGTATTATTCCTGTTGGTAGTATGTGAATCAGTAACTATACATGATGTAATTTCTCCACGAATATTTCATTGTTCCAAAATCTTGGTGTTTCTTACAGGCCTTTCTATTGCCACCTTGGGCATTGCGGTATTAGTACGAATTCTGAGTACATTTCTGATGGTGTGTTTTGCTGGTTTTAACTTAAAGGAGAAGATATTTATTTCTTTTGCATGGCTTCCAAAGGCCACAGTCCAGGTAATGACAGCTAGGATGGCTAAACGTTGTAACTGTTAATTCTGGATGACACCTCGAAATGTTGACTAACAAGGCTTATCTACATTTGGCAAAAGTAAAATATCTAAGTTGGACTTTTTCTTTTGAAGACTTGACAATAATTTACTCTTTTTTTGTCAGTTGTGGGGCTTGAACTTAGGGCCTAGGCACTGTCCCTGAGCCTCTTTGTACTCAAGGCTATTGCTCTACCACCTGAGCAACCACCTGAGTGGTTTATTGGAGATAAGAGTCTCATGGGGACTTTTCTGCCTACCCTGGCTTTGAACCACAATCCTCAGATCTCAGCCTCCTCAGTAGCTAGGATTACAGGCATGAGCCACCAGCGCCCGGCTCTACTTTACTCTTTAAGAGTTTTATTGCTGTATATTCTGAATAGAGAATTGCTAATCCTTTAACAGAAATAGCATGGTCCATTTTCATGTTTGGGAATGCTTTGATGTCATAATATCCATGGATTATCAATTATATTCGAACAGAGTCTTTCTACATAAAGAAAGTGTGTATGGGGAAAAAAAAAAAACTCCAATGATGCTTTACCATCATCCCTCTATCTATGGCTTCATTGTCAGTGGCTTTTGTTACCTATACCAACCACAGTCCAAAAAGTATTAAGTGGAAAGTTCCAGAAATAAGTCTTAAATTGCATGCTGTTTTGATAGAACATGACAGTTTCAGCCATCCTACTTTGTCCTGCCTGGGGACAGGCATCATTACCTTGTTCCAAGTGTCCACACTATACACACCATCAATCCTCTTAATTATTACATGGGTGTCATATCACACTTCTTAAATTCCAAGAGATTCTTATTATCTCAGTTATGGCCCCAAAGCACAAGAATAATGACACTATTAATTTAGAGATGCCAATGAGAAGCTATAAAGTGTTTCCTTCAGGTTAAAAGTTCTTGACTTAATAAGGAAAAAATGTATATAGAGTTTGGTACTATTCCAGATTTCATAAATCCACTGGGGATCTTGAAACCAAAAATAAGGAGGTAATGCAATGCTGTTTTTCTAGGTATTATTCACAACTAACTTAACTTCCTGACACATGTCTCAATCTTGACCCAAAATCTGTGCACCCTAGTGATCAAGGGATCAAGAAAACTCTTATAGATGAGTGCTTGAGATTGTTCACCATGTACTTGTTAGAATGCCTATTGTTGTTAACTAAATAGTAACCACCTAGTTCCGATTGGATTATATGTTTTAGACAAATGATATCAAACAAAATTTAACTGTTGGGTTCCTGATATTTTGCAATTATTGAAATATGCAAACTAATTTTAGGCTGCAATAGGGTCTGTGGCTCTGGATGCAGCAAGAGCTCATGGAGAGAAGCAGTTGGAAGAGTATGGAATGGATGTGTTGACAGTGGCGTTTTTGGCCATCCTCCTCACAGCTCCAATTGGAAGTCTGCTCATTGGTTTGCTGGGCCCTAGGCTTCTCCAGAAATTTCAACACCAAAATGAAGATGAAGTTCAAGGAGAGACTTCTGTACATGTTTAAAGGTGCAAAGAGAAACAATATGTTCATGTTAGAATATACTTTAAAATTTTTTATCATGTATACCTGAAATGGCTATTCTTATTTCTATTATTTTTGCTTGTTTTGCCAGTACTAGAGCTCGAATTCAGAGCCTCTCACTCACTTGCTTTGCTTGCTCACAATTGGTGCTCTACCATTCAAGGCACGCCTCCAGCCTTCAAGTTTCCTTCTTCTTTGTCATCTCCCAACTAAACCATTTCACATAGAATTCAAAGTATGATCTAATCTTGTCAGATATGAAATATATACTGATTTAACTTATTATTGGAATTTTCATCCTACAAAGTCATCCACAAAAGAAAAAATTACTCTCTTCATCAGAATACCGTATCAGCCCTACAGAATACTGTATCACCATAACAGGCCCTTTTGAAACTAATTTTAATATTTTGTTCTAACTAGACTTCGTGTTTTATGTGAATCTGACTCTGTTCTGAAGATAAGGAATAAGGAGATAAATTCTTGTTGTGACTCCAAGAAAGTTTCAGTTTTAATCAGGCCCTGTGTTAGTCATCTTTCTGATGCAGTAACAAAATACTTGAGATAAGCAGCATAAAGGGAGGAAATATTTGCCTTGGCTCACGTTCAGAGTTTTCAGTCTGTGGTCGGTTGGCTTCACCGCTTTTGAGCCTGAGGTACAGCAGAACACATGGAACAAAGCTGCTTGACCAATGGCCAGAAATCAAAAGCAGAGGGAGAAAAGGGGCCTGGGTGTCAATAGCCCCATCAATGGCATCTCCAGTGACCTCATTTCCTTCTACTAAGCCATACGTTTTAAAGGTTCCCTCACCTTCAATAACACTGCAGGCTGGAGATCAAGTACAAGGCCAATGGAAGACACTGAGATATAAACCATAACAGACATTAAATGATAAATAAGAGAAAGAGAACACTCTCAGTAGACACAATAACTTTAGAAAATTGACGCAAAACAGAATAGGATACAGTAAAGCTGCCAGCACAACCATGTTCATAGCAGCATTATTTACCATAACCAAGGTAGGGAATCTGCCCAGATTCCCCTCAGTGGATGAATGGATCAAGAAAATATGGTATATATACACCATGTAATTTTATTCATCCATTAGAAAAAAATAATATTGCATCAAAGAAATGGAAAGACATGGAAAATACTATGTTAAGTTAGTCGGGCCCAGAAAGACAGCGGTTACATATGTGGAAGCAAGAATTAGTTTATGAATATATAAGTATATGCTAAAGGTGGTATGAAATTTTATACAAATGTGTTAATGGAAATATGGTAGATTCAGGGGGAAACTCAAATAATGTAATTCCTTAGAAAGGCAAAAACCATAGTTCATAAATACCAGGAAACTAATACTTGAAAGGGGTAGTATGGAGTCAAGAAGAGAGGTGTAGACAAATGAAGAGAAGTGGGGAGAAAATGTGAGGGAAGGGTGAGTTGGGAGAGATGGATGGGAATGTTAAAAGAGGTGACATCAATAAAGATGCTTTGTACTCATAAACTGCTTTGTTGAGTGGCAGCTCCTGTGTACAACTACTTAAAGATAATTAAAATATTTTTTAAAAACAATACAAGGGGGGCTGGGAAGCTGGCTCAGTGGTAGAGTGCTTGCCTCACACGCATGAGACCCTGGGTTCAATTCCTCAGCACCACATACACAGAAGAAGCCAGAAGTAGTGCTGTGGCTCAAGAGGTAAAGCACTAGCCTTGAGCTGAAGAGCTCAGGGACAGCACCCAGGCCTTGAGTTCAGGCCCCACGACTGAACCCCCCCCCCGCCCCCAAAAAAATACAAGGGAAGAAATAATATAAAGTTGAGCAGTAGAAGTTGTTTTGAGTATCAGGAGTAAAGATAGATAAGGGCAGTTTGTATGTCTTCCAAGTTTGGACTTTGTCCAGTGACAGTTGCTTTTCTTCTATTTTTAGGAGAAGCCTGGGCACTTCATTAGAGGAACTTGGTGGAAATCTTGTCACATCCCAACTCCAGATTCATCTTCAAACCCAAACAGCTCTGCTTTCCTTGTCTTTTTTCTTTAACTAGAGTTATCATGTACGATTTCTTAAGCAGAAAATAAAAAGGTTTTGTACTGAGAGCAGTATATCAAATGTTTACTTTGTACCAGCTCCTGCCATATCACATTTATTCCCACACCACCATCACCACACCCTCCACAAATGAGAAAACAAGCTGGGGAGATGGCATATTTGCCTTGGTCCCATCGCTAGAACGTGCTGGAACTGACACTTGAACCCAGGGACCCCTGACTTCTAGAGACTATGTTTGTGTCCCTTAGCTATCAGGTTGTATTTAGGCTGATTTGGGGGTAAGCGTGGATTTTGACCAGTTTACTTCTAGTACCTGCAACCCCTGGACATGACTGCTTAGCTCCAATACCCAATGATGTCAACTTTGTCCCCGGACTTTTACAACCCAGTAGGTAAAGTATGGAGAAGACATGATGAAAGAAAAAGGGCTGAATAAAGAAACGCAAAGCACAGCAAGACTCACGAGCCCCCCAAACTTTCATCTCAGCAACCACTAAGTGCTGTTATGGGACCCACAGCCTGCAGCCGTAAGCCACGCCCCAACGCCGCAGCCACGCCCTCCGCGGAAGCCACGCCCCCTGGCGTGGAAGCCACGCCCCGAGGCGGTGAGCCCCACCCCTTCGCACAGCTCTGGTCCCGGGGTTCAGGCACGGAGGGGGCCCGGGAGCCCCGGACAACTTGAGCGCAGCGCGTGGCTCCCTCAACGGTTGCTGAGCGCCTGGTCCGGGAGAGAGCTGCCAAAGGAATTCATTATAGGTACGCCCAGTTTTCTCACACACTGCCCTGTTCAGGCTGGCCTCGAACCATGATCCTCAGATCTCAGCTTCCTGTGTAGCTAGGATTTACTGGCGCGGCCCGTGGGCGGCCGTTTTCTCAGGGCACGTCCCACGGGTCCCGCTTTGCCTCTTGGGTTTCTTCCCTCCGGGTGAAAGCTCCTGCCAGGAAGGAAGAGGAGGCCTTTCAGTTAAGATCCCTTGGCAGAATGACCCCCCCCTTCAGATCCCTGGACCCCGAGGCAACGGTGACTCTTCTCCACTGAGCCCCACGCGCCCCTGCGCTGGGAGAGCCTTTCTGGCCCTCTGATACCCTGAGATGGACAGTTGTGATTATTCAAGCACACAAGTCCACCACTTGAATACGAAGGGGAAGGTGAAAGAGGAAATCTAGACACGGTGCTGGTTTACCAGGCCATAGGGATGAATCGTCACTCTCAGAAAGTTTTAAATCGCACTTTGGATCGCCGTTTACATTTTCTGCTGTCCTCTTACCTTCCATGAATCTCGTATTTGCTTCTTTTAGATCAGGAAATGGAGGTTCAGATAGGTTAAGAATCTTGATAAAGGACATGTACCTAAGTGGCAGAATTATCCCTGGAGTAATTTGCCTTTTTTGCTGTTAAATGGATAGATGGATACTCCACTGTTTGCAAAAAAAAAAAAAAAAAATTGAAAATGATAGCAAAGAAAAACTCTGCAGGGTAGAAAGTACCTCCGCTACTCAGAAATCTCTCACAATAGGGCAAAACTCCTTTGTAAATTCTTTTTGTTTGTTTGTTTTTGTTTTGTAGGTCGTGGGGCTTGAACTCTAGGCCTGGGTGCTGTCCCTGAGCTCTTCAGCTCAAGGCAAGTGCTCTGCCACTTGAGCCACAGTGCTACTTCCAGTTTTCTAGTGGTTAATTGGAGATAAGAGTCTCTTGGCCTTTCCTGCCCTGGCTGGCTTTGAACCGTGATCCTCAGATCTCAGCCTCCTGAGTAGCTAGGATTACAGGGGTGAGCCTCCAGCGCCCTGCTCCTTTGTAAATTCTTAAACTAACAGAGCTGGGGATTGTGGCTCAGTAGTAGAGCCCTGGCAAGAACACAAGTCACCAATAAGCGTTTCTTGGTCCTTTCATATGGGCATCTACAGTAGTTTGTCCTGTGTACGTTATATACTGGGCTTTCCATGGATGTCTGCCAAATGAAGAGTGCCAGTCATTAAGCAATTTTAGTGGAGTGGAAGGGATAGAGGTGTATGCTTGGATCAGGGGGCATATTGAAGGAAGTGCCAAGGAAAGTATTTGGAAGGAAGACTTCAAAACTGATAGTTTGCTGGGCAAAAGCAGGTATGTGAGGTAGGAAGATGGCATACTAAGTGAGTAAATTTTGGAGACATGAAGTGTAGCAAATTGCAGAACTGAAATTTAGTGAAGAATGAGAAGGAACGTAGAGACGAGGATAGGTATGTTGATTTGAAGGTGAATTTAAGGAGCTTGATGATTTTGTTTTATGAGAAACCATTGAAAGATTGATTGATTGATTGCTTGATTGTGGGGATTGAACTCTAGGCCTGGGTGTTGTCCCTCAGCTCTTCAGCTCAAGGCGAGTGCTCTACCAAAGAGCCACAGCACCACTTCCGGTTTTCTGGTAGTTAATTAGAGATAGGAGTCTCATGGACTTTCCTGCCCAGGCTGGCTTTGAACCATGATCCTCAGACCTCAAACTCCTGAATAGCAAGAATTACAGGCATGAGCCACTAGCACCTGACTCATTAAAAGATTATTAAGCAGAGAGTTGTCCTAATCAAACATTGATGGAAACTGTTCTTCTTTGCAGAAATTACACATAGGTAAAACAACACAGGAGGTGAAGAGAACAGTTAAAGGCCATTACAAGATTAAAGGGAAAATATGCTTATGGCCTGGACTAGAGAAGGGGTAATCTATCTGGAGAGAAGTCTACATCATTTAAAATACTTCTTAGCTTATATTAACGTGATCTTGTAACTTAGTGAAAAGTGGCAGAAAAGGGAAAGTGGGGTGAAAGAATTTCTCAGTCTCTAATTTGAGGAACTAAATTGATGCTGCCTTCTAAGATAGGAAATGCTCTGAAGAAGGAGTAACTTGGGCAAGGAAAAAATCTTGATTTCAGCCGGGTGCTGATGGCTCACACCTGTTATCCTAGCTACTCAAGAGGCTGAGATCTGAAGATCATGGT